GTTATTAACGATTGAGACACCTGCCAAGAAAATTTGGAACGAATATATACATTAAAAAAAGTAATAAATGTTTGTATAGGATGGACAAAAGAATACTAATAATAATAGAAGTGTCAAAAATGATAAAGAATATAAATAATGAGAATGTATAAAATGATTTCCCTTTGAAAAATAAATGAAAACATATTTAATTGTCGAAAAGTACAATTAACATAGCATCCCTCACAAAAAATTCCTTAATGCTCGCGGGCAAAAGTATAAGGGTTAATTCCGAATATTACTTTAAACTTCACCCAAAAACTACAAGAAGATTCTTCGTAGTCCAATTGTTTGATGGAAAACAAGGCCAGATACCAATCACAAATTGTATTATCGTCGTCTTCAAGCATCTTGTTTTGGATCCTCAATTGGATCTTCTTCCTTGGTTACATCCAACAACTATGGTTCAGCATTAACATTCCCAAACTGGAAAGTATTCTACGTATTCTCTGAAAGACTACCCTCTCCTTTTAGGTTGGCATTTCTCTTTTCTTCTTGCCCCTTCAACTTTTTCTTCCCTGGTTGGAAATTGAGTCCATATCCAAAGCGATTCTCCTTGGTGATGATAGTTTTGGCCTGATTCTGAGCATTTATTTCATCTGTGATTGGTGGAGTATTCATCAGACTATCTAAACTTTCTAGAGCCCCATTTATCATCAAAAAATCTGATATAGGTGTTTGAGGAGTTTCTAGGGTTGTATCTGCCCAAATCATTCTTAAACCTGTGGGTCAGTCACAAATTACATTCATTGGAGCCCTTTTTCTTTGATTTTCTTTCCTATCTTCTTGCACCATGTGTTCTTCATCGGATTTGGCTGCATTAATCTCTATTGGAATGACTATTTCTGAGCATTGAACCTTAACCCTTTTATCTTCTACCTTGCACCTTTGAATTTCTTGCTCTAAAGGATCCTGGAACTTTTTCTCATGGTTGCTAGGAACCTTAACTGAATAATCTGGGGCTCCAGTCTAATTTATCCAGGGAACCTCTTTATAGGTCCACTTTTCATTCGGAGGCCACTGTGGTGGGGCATATCGCGGTGTAATCAATCCAGATGTGAACATTTTTGAACGCAGTTCTTTACACGAAAAGTAAAAGGGAAGGAACTGAAAACCCTATACTTTCCTTTTCTTTTTATCTACTCCCCATGATAACATGAGAGATTGATCATTCTTAGCTTTCTTGATCAGCACTCGGTCCTCTTCTATGCCCCTCCTCTTTGAGAAAAGCTTATCTTCTTCATTCATTGTTGGTCGTTTTTCGATCGCATCTGATTTTTAGAGTTGGCTTGAGATATCTTGCTCTTTAACGGGTTCTTGATTACCTGTTACTGTCATTTTGATTCCACCACTGACATTCATAATCCCATTCAAAGCGTTTACGACGGTATCTTCTAGTGGCTTGTCTCCATAGATCACGACATTCATCATCTTCATTAATTTGGTCATCTGTTCTCTTGATACATTCTAGAACCTTTTTTCTTGATCGATCATCTCCTGTTGCATCCTTACGAGTTGCTCTAGAATTATCTCGATCCTACCAACTCGTGCTAATATCTCATTCATTGGTTTCTATCTTTTCAGAAACACGCCCCGGGTAACTTCAATTTACTTTCAGAGCTTCTGTCATAGTATCTTTCACGAGTTACTTTCACATTTTCATGATTGATGCATGTAAAAATGCTTAAATTAAAGTAATGCGAATACAAATGTGGATGCCAAATGCAAATGCAAAATAGGTGTGCAAAAATACGAGATGCAAATGCAACCCGATATTGATTCCAAAATAACTTAGTTTATAAAAAGTACTCAACAACACACAATGTCTAAGCACTTAGGCAAAGAGAGTACATCAACATGGAAACTTAAACGTAGAATCTTGCCCTATTCGCTAATCTCTCGAGTTCTATCATCAATTCCATGATTCACCCTTCTTCCTTTGGATCACAAAAATTCTTAATCTTGTCGCTTCTTCAGATAATTCATAGACTTGACGAGCAACACCATTGGCCTGATTCAGTGCTCTCTTCATTGCTTCATGTTGTCTTTGAATAGTATCTTGAGTCTGCCGTAGCGCGGTTCCAAGTTCTTTATTAGTCCATGGTCAACTCTCCTCTAACTGCTGAATTCGCTGATGGCATTTTTGTACTGTAACTTCTAGCTCAGGAATCTTAGCTTTTAAGGCCTCATTTTCCAGTCTGGCTATCTATTATACAGATGAGTGAATCAACCCTGCTTCTTCTAGCTCCATTATCATCTTTTTAATATCTCATTTTCTTTTTGAAGACAGAACCCATTGTTGTTGTAAGGGTTCTGAAAAGTCTCATCCAAACTAAGAAGATGTGCTTCGAGCTGTTCAATCTGTGCTCGCATTTGCGCTAATTCCTAGTTAGCCTCATCTCTTTGCTCTCTGAGTGCTCGAATAATTACCTTCTCTGGCAAAACTGATTCTTCAGTAATGACAAAGTTATCTCTGAACCGCGTCTGCCTGTACTCGAACCAGGTCTGTATAATGATTGTATTCTCAGTCCTATCGGAAGACATTGCTGCCTTAAGCTCTTTTTATAATAACTAGGTAATCTGAGAATCAATACCGTTTATGAAATGATATGATATGACAATGATACACGCAAAAATGAAATAAGAGCATACAAAATAAAATCAATGTTAGTAGAAACAAGACAACAATAATCAAGTTAGTTGAAATGATTAATCAAAAAAAATCTTAAATATGAATTAAAGTTGAGACTAAAAAAAATAAAGCATACAAAGGAAATTAATGGTCCTAACCACATGCTTTCTAGTTCTCCTAGGTTATCCACATGGCTCTAGCGAGGTAAGCTTACTAAATTTTCTATATGAGGCTGGGTTCTAGCGAATGTTCCCAAGCTATTTTTACAACCTGCTAAGGTTGACCCCAATTCTGGCCCATTACAGACTTGCAAATCGGGTTCAGCTCAGGGGATCATACCACTAAAAGCGTACCTCGGAACTGATATCCGGATAGGCAACTTAGGGTGTTTTCCAGAGATACTTTGTCAGACCCACACAAGGAAGCCCAATGCTCCTCGTGAGGTGTGACGTTTCTCCCTACTTAGGTAAACCGGGATTAAGCTCGGGTTTAGAGCTATGATATGCAACAATTCTAAATATTTCACAGAAGTGTAAGCATTAATCAGAGAATTTTTTTTTGAAATAACATAATGAACCATAAATTAAACAAGATCGAACTATTAATTTCCAAATAATAAATATAGGGTAACTAACTCATGGCTCGACTCTCAATTTGTTTAAAAAAATAAAAGTTCCCCAACAGAGTCGCCAAGCTATCGTAACCGTTTTTCGCCCGGGTGGAAAAGAGCGATACCGACTCGGGGGTTTTTCTCTTTAAAAATTGGTTTGAAAGGTGAAGAGTCGCCACCAATCATTTAAGGTGCGATTGGAACACCATAAAAACCGGATGATTTTAATAAAACATTTTGTTTGTATCAAAATACCGAATTTTTAGGTATGCGAAAATCCATAAATCAGGTTCGGAAGTCGGTTACGCGTGGGGAAGGATTAGCACCCCCACAAGCGCCCAAAAATTGGTACCTAGTTGATTACTCTATATTTAATTTAAAAATCATTAAGGATGCAAAGTTGAAAAGGGTCTTCATTTATCGAGACCGATAGCAATCGTCCCCGAGCGTAAATGCGGGAGATCAACTATTGTGCCTAATAACCGAATATTGCCTCATTTTTTTTAAAAACATGGTGTGGTTTTGAAAAGGATGTTGACTTATTCAAGGAATTATTAGTAGTCACCCCTGAGCACAATCGCGGGAGATATACTATTAATTCCTTAATAAGTAAACAGTGCCTTAGATTTTTAAAAACAATGTAATCAAACAAAATTTTATTTGTCATAATTAAACTAAAAATAAATTAAGACATTTTCTAACTTAAAGTGTCAAATTATGAAAATTAAGGAACCTAATAGCTCAAATTTAAAATGTAGGTTCTAGTATTAAAGTTTATATATTAAGATGAATTATGTATTCATGTATTATAAATTTTCTTTTTATAATTTTAAAATTATCGAGTTTTACCCTTAGTCAATTTATTTCGATTTGAGTCAAGTAATGCTCGTGAGGGTATCATACATATTAATTAAAAGATATCTTGTACCTAATTTATATATCCAAATGAATGCAACTATATACGTAGTTTATAAACATTGTCAAAAACTAATAATAACTAATATGGTTAAGAGAATATACATACACATTTTAATAAGAACATATAAAGGAAAGAAACACTAAATATATATATATATTCATAGATATATAATATAATATATATATATATATATATACGTGAGGGAATATATAATAAATATAAGTAATGCGTATATATATATATATATAGTATAACACATGCTAAATAAAATAACATATATAATCTTATCCTTAATAAAGTGCTCAAAGTAGTTGCACGAAATGTCAAAGTAATTTAACATTCAAAATGCAACACATAATCCTCCTAAAATTAAGGTGAAAACAACGGGTCCGTTAAATGGGCACTAATAGACAAAAGCAATAAATATTAAATTAATTTCCACACAAATCAATCGAGATTTAAGAATAAATTAACCAAAGGTTGAATCATAAAATGTATGAATATAAAAGGACACATACGCAAAAGTGGTAAATTACCAGGTTACATATATAATTTATCCTATTTAATTTAAGCTAAGATAATATGTAAAATAACATAAACAGTGCATGCACGTACGAAAAAATCAGAAAATTAATACCAACAAATGACTGCTTTATAAAATGTGTTTAAATTGAGAGGGCATGAACTTAATTTAACCCATACAATCATGATGGCTAAACCATAATTTGCCCAAAACCTTTTATATAAAATCTAAACTAAAATAAACCTAATCTAATTGAAAACTAAACCCTTAGCCTCATCCTCACTTCAACTCTCTCCTTAGCCGTAACCTCTACCCCATCTCTAATCTTCTCCTATCTTTTTCCTCGATGGCACACGAACCAGAGAGCCCAAACCCTCTATGACCAACACACCTTCAGTCGCATCCTCCATCGAACCAAACGAGGAACAAAACTGACCCCTAAACAAAACAAAACTAAAGCTCCTCTTCTCCACTCTTGTACTCTTATCTTCTTTTCCGCCGAAAGCCTTAAGGGCTTCAACTCACGCCATAAATCAGCGACCTTCGCCTCTCCGACCTCTGCATGACAAAACCAAAAGGCCCCTAACAACTATTGCTCCCTCTTCTACTTTCTTCTTCTACTCGAGAGAAAACAAAAGTCACTCAAACCCCCACTGTTTTGGGACCTAACCATCCGACCACGTAGCCTCTCAACCACGAGGACAACCACTCCGGCAGTAAAAGCTCGCAACAATAAAGTAAGAACCTAAAACTTGCTTATTTCCATTTTTTATTTTTGAAATCTCAATAAATGATAACTAAACCGAAAAACAAAACATGCAAGGATGCAAAACAACTCACCACGATCTCACCCAACTTCGGCGACAAATGCTCCGACAACGACGGGACAACAAGCGAGGAAGGTAACAAAACGAAATTTTTTTCTTATCTTTTATAATTTCTATTTCATTCATAACCAAAAAATGAAAATAGTTCTCGAAAGATGAGTAAATGCTTTTGAAACTTGCGTTCTGTATTTGTTTCTAAAAAACGGGTAGAACCCACTGTAACATCACTTTGTTAATTACAACGAATCCCTCCTATCTATTGAAGAACCAGACTTACAAACTGTTTTCTCTCCGTTTTTTATCGTTATTCATACCCCAATTTACTTCCCAATTGATGGTTGATAGAGTTGATCGTCCCCCTGTTTATGTTTTCTTTCATTCGAATGGTTTCCCTCTTCTTTTTCTCCCCCTTTGATGCGAATATGCCCCCTATTCTATCTTCATTTTTTTCACCAAATCCCTTGACTTCTGGTTGGATTAGGTAGGAGCAGGTGAAAACTTGATTTAGGGTAGACAAAATCCCGTATATGATTTTCTTTTGACATGCTTTTAGGTGGATAATTTGGTTATTGTCTGCAGGTGCCCTTTGACGTAGGCGATGACAAAATTCAATAACTTGGTGGTTTCTTCATTCAGTTCGGGTCCTCTCTAGGTCTGGGCCTTATTGTATTCTAGCCTGCATGTAAATTATTAATAATAATTAATAATAATAATAATAATAAAATATTAAAAGATGAGACGAAAAAATGAGTGTCGACAAATATATGGGATATACGCCATATGCATTATTTCGGCTACTTTGCCCCAAATTATTTGCAGTAACTGCATGTTCCATAAAGTTAGTCCTATTTGGAGATGCCACATCCTAATATAAGGGCTAAATTTTTTATTTAATTTATTTTGTGAAAATGAGGACTAAATTACATTTTTTCTTAATTTTTAGCAATTCTGAGAAGTTTAGGAAGTTTAGAGACTGCTTACTTGATTTCTCCATTTTAATTGGTTATGTTATTAAAACGGAACTAGGAAAAGATCAGGATTTAGGGTGCATGGGATTCAAACCTATTTTCGTTGCTTTCTGACCCTATAGTTTCCGTTTTATTTTCACCCAAACTTATCATTCTCATATATATCTCAGCAAGATATCATGGTTGATTCATCTTCATTCATCCGTCTGTTCACGACACCATCCACGCCAAATGAACCAATTCGTTATTTCACTTCTTCAACTATCATCAGTGTCGATGCCGCTGTTGCTATTGTGGAGTTTGGATGGGGGCAAGTTCGGTTGTCACACGTGTCACCCTTATGCGTGGACTTCGTTTGTCGTTTGAAGATTAGTCTAAACCCAATCTGTACCCGATTCGTTTCAGCTCAGCCTATGATTCGTGTCTTTTTCCTAAGGTAAGGGCTCTCATCTTTCTATTTCATTTTCACCTATTTTCATTTGGAGTATAAACAAAAGGTGTTCATCTATTTCCTCATTTGGATGCCATTTTCCTAAGGTAAGTACTCTCATATTTCTTTTTCATTTTCACCTATTTTCACTTGGAATTTAGCTTAGCTCAAGAATAGAAAATTGGTTTTGAGAGGAAGATATAAGGGTTTGATGGAAAATTCTAAAGAGAGAACTTAAAGTTTTTAATGAGAATATAATTTAAGGGTTGTTTATGTTAGAGCATGCCCAAAGACCAATAATGAGATGATTGTAATGATATTTTTTTACCTTATTTATTAATATAAGAAATTTTCACTATTATTTCAGTTATTATTTTGTATATATAAATAAATTTAACTATAATAATGTCCCGAGAATAATATGATTATTCTTAAACGTCCTCAGTAAATTATTATTCTGAGCTTTGAAAACAGTAATGCATTAAGACTAATATGTAGTTGATGGAGAATATCATATTGGACTGAACAGCTATGAGTATGTTACTTTGATCATTATGTGACAATCACAACTAGGGTCGTAAACGAGTTGAATGGAGCTCGAGTATAGCTTAGCTTGAGTTGACTTGAAAAGTTTATAATTGAGCTCGACCCAACTCGAAAACTCACGAGCTAAAATTGTCAAGCTCAAATCGAACTCAAAATGAAAAATTGAGGCTTGACTCAATTCAAAAGCTCGTGAGCTTAAAATTGTCACACTCGACTCAAACTTGAAATTAAAAATTGAACCTCGACTTGAGCTTGAAAAAATTTAAACTCCAAAATTTCTCTGACTTATCTTAAGTACATGAAAAATTTATATTGTATTTTATATATATATATATATATTAATATCATTAATAATTTAATTTAAAAAATTAAAAGTTTAATATATTATTTTTTTAAGTTGCTCGTGATTTTTCGATTCAGTTATCAAGTACTCGGGTACTAGAAACTTGAGTTAAGTCTATTCAATTCGAGTATTGATCCATCTTTGATTGGATCAAATCCATGTAGCTCTTTATCCGTCTCTTCTCATTTACAACCCTAGTTACAACATTACTTATAGTGATAAGTATATGTATAATCTTTGTCGACACCATTTTTCGCCAGGGCGGGAGAAAACTTAGAACGACTTGGGGGTTTTTCTTTGAAAAGGTTTTGAAATGTGAGGACCATCGACCTTTTGAGTTAGGTAGGTCGAATACCTAAAATTTTTCTTTTAAAAGAATTTTTAAGAAAACATCATTTTTAAAAGATTCACCAATCTACGTGTAACCAGAGATTCATTCTTTTTTAGAATAAAAAAGGGGTTCGGGGATCGATTATGTGTGGGGAAGGATAAACACCCCCACAACACCCAAAATTGGTACCCCATCGATTATAAATTGTCTCTAATAATGAAAATCTAAGAATTCAAATATAAATTTAAGTTACGATTCTATTATTCTAAATTTAACCAAACAATTTTTTATTTAACGAGAAATTCTAAGGAGAAATAGAAAATATTCTAATATTTCCAATCGAAGAGAAAATAATCCTTAAAATACTTTAGGACAAATATTTCTCTTTCCAACTGAAATAAAAAGAATATAACAATTTCTCCCAATAATTCAAGATTAAAATAATTTTATTCGACCAAAGAAAAAATTAAGTCAATTTATCCAAATTATATATGATTAGAAAATATAAGTGACGTTCAATTATTTAAAATATCAAGACTTAATTCCTAATAAAATTAGATGAATTGTCTCGATAAGTTTAAATAAGTGAATATTTCCTTTTTCCTTTCAAACGAGATTAATTTATAAACATAATTGATTTTTTTGGGGTTTTTCTAGTAGGATATTTATTTATTTTAAAACATCGGAATAGGACATTTAGTTACTTTAAGAGAGCAACTTCTTAATATTTTAAAATAAATAAATACTACCCTTAATCCAATTATGTAATAAGTTGAGTTATGCTTATGGGGCTTTCATACAAATTCGAAATGTCTAGATCTATATGCACAAACAAATTTACATGAAAAAAGCTAAAAAAAATTAAAAAAAATACTAATTATGAACAAATAAATGGAAATTAAAGTAAAGATAAAAATTAAATGCTATTCAATGTTGGAAATACAATTTAACTAAATTAACAAGTGCATACTTTAAAGTATAAATATTACGTTAAATAAGCAAACAAAATATAATTACTAAAATAGACATTACAAAAATTAAAGTGCTAAATAAGAAAGCTTAAATAATAAATACTAAAATGAACATTACAAATGTAAATAAATAAATTAAAGTATTTAAGTTAAAAAAACATAAAATTGTACATTCACCTAAATTATAAATATTAAAATATAAAACATATGCATCACTTAAAATACATACTATATATTTTACAAGCAAAATATAACATATGATACATTACACCACAACTAGGGACTAAAATAGAATATTAAAAATTATATGCCAAATGTGAAATAAATAATAACATGAAGATAACAAGCAAAATATAACTATAACAGTGACCAAAATAAAAATAATAAAAAATTAACAGAACAATTCAAAACAAATAAATAATATAGCAAGTGACCAGAATAAAAGAAGCTAAAATACAGGGAGCTTAAGGATGATTTTACCCTGATAGTGACCAAAATGCAAGATAAGACCTGGACTGTGATTTGACCCTAAAATAGGTGGACAAAGCAGAAAGATCCTAGAAACCAGGGTTCTGATGCATGATTTACCCATTTTTCATACAACCAAAATATCTCCCCCTGTTTCACGTAACTCAGTCGAAACCTGCAAGCTTCACAAATGACTCCCTCGGTCACTGCTCACAGGCCCTCACACGCCGGCCACCGGGCCGGTGACTGATATACTCCCACTGACGACCTCAATCGAGACCGGAGGAGGTCCGACCGACCACCTTGAACGACCTAAAACTCTACCCATTCTCTTCCTAAACTCTCTCTTTCTCCTCCATTTCTCTTCCCCATTTGGCGGCTGAGAGGACTCAAAATCGAGCCTCAACACTGGCCACAACATCTTGGTGGCCACCCTATACTCCGACCGACGACCGAGCCAGCCGAGGGAGGCTAAAACAAAGGTCAAAGTGACCAAACTCTTCTCTCTCCTTTTGACCAAGGCACCACCCAGGACCCCATGCACTCACCTCCGACCACCAACAGTCGGCGCTGTTAGGCCACAAGCTAGCCTCTCTCATACGTCGGCCACTGTTCAACGGTGGCCACTCTCTCTACAACCCGTGAACCCCCCGAAATCGTAGCAAAAACCAAGTTAGAAAGCAAAAAAAAAGGAAAAGCAATCTTGGAGAGAAAAAAAGTCAAAGAAACTGTATTTCATTCCCTATTTTCAGGAAATAAGAAGTCTGTGTCATTTTATAAGGGTTCGTTTGGGTATTAATAACCCCAAACACTACAATATTATAATAATTTTTTATATAATAAAATAATGATAAAGCAAAAAAGTAAAACAAATAAAAAAAATAAAAGAAATGGTGTTTACAACTACCCCTCTTTGCTCATTGTTGTGGAACAGGAATAGAGAAAAGATAATATGCACCATTTATTTTTATCTAGCCTGAACTACTAAAATCTTGAGCTCCAATTTCTTCTGATCGGGCGAGTTCCTCTCATTATGACCTCTTCGTTGGGGATGTCAATCCACTTCCTTCTATGATGGAATCACCAAGGTTGAATAAGTTCTTCTCATTATGAACTTTTTCTCCCTCTTCGGATGAGCTCTTCTCATTATGAACTCTTCACTGGAAATGTTGATCCACCTCCTTTTGTGATGATTGATTCAAGGTGATGCTAATCCAACTCCTTATGTGATGGACGAACGAAACGATGATGTTGATCCAGCTCCTTGTGCGATGGAAACAAGCTAAGGTTGAACAAGTTCTTCTCATTATGAACTTCTTCTCCTTTATCAGATGAGTTCTTCTCATTATGAACTCTCTACTGAAAATATTGATCCCTCGAGTGAGGTGTTGCTGATTCGAAATGCCGTGAATCGAGCGATAGGTCGAACAATCTCTTCTCATTATGAACTTTTCTCCCTCTGTCGGATGATTTCTTCTCATTATGAAATCTTTATTTGAAATATCAATCCCTCAAGCGAGGCATCACTGATTCAAAATATCGTGAATCGAGTGATAGGTCGAACAAGCTATTCTCATTATGAACTTCTTCTCCCTCTGTTGGATGAGTTCTTCTCATTATGGACTCTCATTTTGAAATGTCAATCCCTCAAGCGAGGTGTCACTGATTCGAAATGTCATGAATAGAGTGATAGGTCGAACAAGTTATTCTCATTATGAACTTCTTCTCCCTCTGTCGGATGAGCTATTCTCATTATGAACTCTCTATTGGAAATGTTGATTAGTTTACCCTCTCTTTAAAGAGTTTTAAACCTGCAAAAGATTATCATGTGTCAGTAATTTGGTGTTTGAAGTTCCTGAAGGTATTGACCCGAAGGTTCTAGAATCTTTGTTGAGATCCACTTCTTTAAAAAAAGAAGACATGAATTGATTCTTTGTTGAAATCTTCTTCTTCAACATGGAATTGTGAAATCAAAACTCTGATAACTTGGAATTTCTGTCAAATATTCAACATATAGATAAAAATGAATAAGAAACATGTTTTAAGAGAAGCTCTCTCGAGTGAGATAAATTTTGTTTCGAGGGAACACTTTCTCAAGCGAGACGAAGTTGGTTTATGAAAAACAATCTCGAGTTAGATAAATTATGTTTCAAGGGAAAACTATCTCAAGCGAGATGAAGTTGGTTTTAAGAAAAACCATCTCAAGTGAGATATATTTTGTTTCAAGGGAAAACTGTCTCAAGCGAGACGAAGTTGGTTTTAAGAAAAACCATCTCGAGTGAAATAAAATTTCTTGTTTCAAGGGAAACTGTCTCTAGTGAGACGAAGTTGGTTTTAAGAAAAACCA